TTCCTTGTTTGCTAAAGAAATTCTTTTTTAAAAACTTGGGGATTAACCTCTGAATAATGATTTTTTAAAGCTAAAGAAAAATAAGCTGTACTTCAGTGATTACGAATGAACTGCGGTTGTGTATAGTTAAATCTATCCCTTATGTACCTGTGGCTGTCAATGGTTAGATCCTTAATATATCTCCTTTTTTTAGTATTAACTAAATGTGTACACACACACACGCATACACACACACACACACACACACACACACACACACACACACACACACCACACACACACACACACACACACATATATATATATATATATATATATATATATATATATATATATATATATATATATATATATATATTATCATATATGTGTACATGTGTGGCGTGTATGTGTCCGTGTGTGTGTGTGTGTGTGTGTGGTGTGTGTGTGTGTGTGTATGTATATGTATATATATGAATATATACAGTATATCATATGTGTGCATGTGCGGCATGTATGTCTGTGTATGTGTGCGGTTGTGTTACATATATATATATATGTGTGTGTGTGTATGTGTAAATATATATATATATATATATTATATATATATATATATATATATATATATATATATATGTGTGTGTGTGTGTGTGTGTGTGTGTGTGTGTGTGTGTGGTGTGTGTGTGTGTGTGTGTGTGTGTGTATGTATGTATGTATACGTATATATATATATATATATATATATATATATATATATATATATATATATATATGTATGTATGTATACGTATATATGTGTGTGTGTGTGTGTATGTATATATATATATATAATATATATATATATATATATATATATATATATATATATATATATATGTATGTATGTATGTATGTATGTATACGTATATATTTTTGTGTGTGTGTATGTGTGAAGGGTTGGTGTTATTTCCCTATTTTACAAGTATAGTAAGCACTGGTGTGCGAATGCGTGTTCGGGTTCCACTCCGAAGGGCGAGGGTTCGCAGCGAAACGTCGCCCAGAGGTTACTCGCGAACCACCCAAGCTTTTACCACCTCATCGCTGCATCACCTCTGGAGTCTAGAACAATTACTTGTTTAAACCATTAACTATTTGTGTATTGTTTAACACATTTTCTGTGTCTGTTGTGTGTGATATTGATATTGCAAATGGATAACAGAAATTGTACTTGTATATAGCCTCTTTGAGTGATTTGTTAGCCTCTTGGAACATCTCCCCTCAAGCATAGTGTGTGCGCATGGCCATCTGAGCCCACATGAGCTAGACACTATGATAAGACCGTACAAGTGCTGTGTAGACGACTGGCAGTGTCCGATCCTCACAAGGAGTTTATGCTGTAAATTTGTAGTATCTAGTGCAGGATCCAGTGTTCATATTATTTTGGTACATATTTTTATGTAATCTTGAAACATACTTCAAAGATTTATATATTTAAAAGAACAATGGTGGATTCATGAAATTAACCATAAAGTCGCACAATACATACACACATACATACATACATACATATATATATAATATATATATATATATATATATATATATATATATATATATATATATATATATATATATATAGACATACACATACATGTCTATATGGATGGGTGCTTCACGCGCAGGATGATGTGAAGCGATGGTGTGATAGTGCTAAGTGCTTGCATGCCTTCTTGCTTGCAGCTGCCACCGCTGGCTAGCCTAGTACGAAAAAGGGAGCAGCTCTGCATAAGCCTCCTCCTGCCAGTTCACAGCCTCTCCATCATCGAGACCTGCAGTGCCTCCTCGTGGCCTCCCATGGAAACTGGGTACCTTGCGGTCCCAGGTTGAATTGGGGGATCTCGGAGCAGCAGGAGTCCCCAGAGGTACAGGGTCATGGCCCACTGGCGTGTGGACACGCCCTGGCCCTGTACTAACTCCTGCCCTTAAGCCCCCTGGGGTTAATTAACGGCTTGGGGGAGGTGGGCCTTTCCAGTCCTCCTCCCCCCTTCGGCGGGGTTGGCAGAGGTGGCGTCCACCCGGAGTAATTGCCCAAGGCTAAACCTCTGGCGGGAAGTCAGGGAGGGAGGGCTTGGAACATCTGTTCTTTGCGTCAGGATGTACGGTTACATCTACTGTTGTAGGAACTGGGGATGCCGAGAGTGGAGGTGGCTGCTCTCTCGGAGGTGAGAAGACCTAGCAGCAATACGATTAGTGTAGGTGGCTACACCTACTACTGGTCGGGCTGCAGCAACTGTTACCATCTCCAGGGAGTAGCCATGGCCATCTCTAGCAGACTCCAGCCCTCTGTAGTAGAGGTTACTTCAGTTGAGCATAAATTGGTATTGAGACTGAAGCTAGCATTAGGCTCTATGTCTCTTATTGCTGTGTACGCTCCTACTGGTTTGTAAACACGACGTGAAAGAGATGTTCTACACCAAATTAGCGTCTGTGATAGACAGTTGTTCTGGGTGATTTCAATGCGGTATCTGGCTGTGATCGAGCT